GCGAGCAGGTGTGCCCTCTCTTCCAAGTGCCGTATGCGAACGAAAAGTTGCTGAAGCTAGATTGGTTACACGTTGTTGATCTTGGAGTAGCGGCTGACTTCATAGGGGGTTTGCTATGGTATCTTGTAACGCACAAAAAGGTGGCTGGAACTACCCAGAAAGGCCGCGTCTCCACACTACATGGTCATTCGATGGTGTTCTACGACAGGCAGCCGCCAGGTGAGAAGACCAGCCGCCTATCGAGACTGACGCGGGGCGTTGCGAAAGGAAAAAAAAGCAACGACGGCTAAGATGAGGTGCGGCGCGGGGATGCTCAGGCACATGGTTCCATGGGCATTGGAGATGGCGGAGGCTTTCCTTGATAGGAGGAATGGCGTCGACGAGCGGGCAGCTGTAGAATCGTCCATTCACGCAGGGATGAAAAGCTGATGTCGGTGTTACGAGGCACTCTCTGACAATCACCCATTTGCTGTGGACATTCTTGGAGAGCATTCACCCATTTGCTGTGGACATTCTTAGAGAGCATTCGAGTAAGTTTGCCACGCAGACGGCCGCTTTGCAAGACGCGCTTCCTGCCCATTTTAAAGTGAAGCCTAAAATGCACAAGTTTCTGGAGCTGTGCATGGGCGGCGGTGAACCAGCGAAGCACTGGAACTATAGGGATGAGGATTTCGGTGGATCTGTAGCTGCATTTGGCCGAAGGAGGGGCCAAAGGAGGTCCATGAGAGCGTTTTCGGTGGCATGCATCGCTAAGTTCTGCGGCCAGCCGATTGTGCGCATGCTTTGAAAAGAACGCTTCTGTGTGTATCGTTGTCATTCATTGCTGTCGGCTCAAATATATGTTGGCCCCCTCCCAGTGGGGCGAGCGCGAGCATGGGCGCTGAAGCCCCGTTTGCCCCAAAACGGCGGGTCGAACTATTTTCGGCGCGCCCGAACTATAGTTCGACCCGCAGAAAAGTATAACCCCCGCATTATAGTTCGACCCCGCACTATAGATCGACCTTGGAGTCTCAAGGTCTGGGCTCCTCTGGGCACCTCCCCCGGGGCCGGTTTTGTGAGGATGTCTCAAGCGAGGGCGCCGGTTTGGGATTCGTCACCGGATCCACCGGATCTGTCCGGAAACGGTGCCGGAGGCCGCTCTGGGCTCCTCTGGGCACCTCCCCCGGGGCCGGTTTTTTGAGGATGTCTCAAGCGAGGGCGCCGGTTTGGGATTCGTCACCGGATCCACCGGATCTGTCCGGAAACGGTGCCGGAGGCCGCTCTGGGCTCCTCTGGGCACCTCCCCCGGGGCCGGTTTTGTGAGGATGTCTCAAGCGAGGGCGCCGGTTAGGGATTCGTCACCGGATCCACCGGATCCACCGGATCTGTCCGGAAACGGTGCCGGAGGCCGCTCTGGGCTCCTCTGGGCACCTCCCCCGGGGCCGGTTTTGTGAGGATGTCTCAAGCGAGGGCGCCGGTTTGGGATTCGTCGGATCCACCGGATCCACCGGATCTGTCCGGAAACGGTGCCGGAGGCCGCTCTGGGCTCCTCTGGGCACCTCCCCCGGGGCTTGTTTTGTGAGGATGTCTCAAGCGAGGGCGCCGGTTTGGGATTCGTCACCGGATCCACCGGATCCACCGGATCTGTCCGGAAACGGTGCCGGAGGCCGCTCTGGGCTCCTCTGGGCACCTCCCCCGGGGCCGGTTTTGTGAGGATGTCTCAAGCGAGGGCGCCGGTTTGGGATTCGTCACCGGATCCAGCGGATCCACCGGATCTGTCCGGAAACGGTGCCGGAGGCCGCTCTGGGCTCCTCTGGGCACCTCCCCCGGGGCCGGTTTTGTGAGGATGTCTCAAGCGAGGGCGCCGGTTTGGGATTCGTCGGATCACCGGATCCAGCGGATCTGTCCGGAAACGGTGCCGGAGGCCGCTCTGGGCTCCTCTGGGCACCTCCCCCGGGGCCGGTTTTGTGAGGATGTCTCAAGCGAGGGCGCCGGTTTGGGATTCGTCGGCGGATCCACCGGATCCACCGGATCCACCGGATCTGTCCGGAAACGGTGCCGGAGGCCGCTCTGGGCTCCTCTGGGCACCTCCCCCGGGGCCGGTTTTGTGAGGATGTCTCAAGCGAGGGCGCCGGTTTGGGATTCGTCACCGGATCCACCGGATCTGTCCGGAAACGGTGCCGGAGGCCGCTCTGGGCTCCTCCCCCGACCATCCAAACCTTTTGAATATTAGAGATACTTCAAAATAATGAAGTGTTAATCAAAAATGCAGGTTGTTTTTGAAGTAAAACTTGATATTTACAAGAAAATCTGGTAATTATACTTTCAAAACATGGAAACGACTTCAAAAAAATAGAGAAAACCTTTAAGAGATAACGTTTTCTGCAAAACCAATAGAGAACCCTAAAATGCAGTTCTTGTTCTATACAGAGTTAAACGTGTGTTGGCAAGCGGACTTGTATACCCTTTGCCACTGTGCCATGTCGTGTTGCGTCAGACTAACGAGGTGCGGAGGCATTTGGCAGTGATCGCTGCTCTCCACTAACCCCCCCTTCTGTGACGTGGTTTGCGATCGGAGATGGGAGAGCTTGGTTCTGGAGTAAGTGGAGTTATCTTCGATTCATTATTCGATCCCTTCCTGGTTGTGGACCCCACGTCGGCGCGGGATGCGAAGATAATCGCGATTCGCGTGTGGCTTTCTCGCGATGGCCCGTGCCCCTGTCGGCGCGGCAGTGTTTGGGGGAACCACCACTATCATCATCATCATCATCATCATCATCATCATCATCATCATTTCAATCACCATTACTATTAACGTTACCGTCGCCGTCACCGCCGCCACAACCATAGCCATTTCTGGCCAAATGGGTACGGCAACCAGAACGCCAGGATGTGATCTGAGCAACTCCGACGCACAATCATGTTTCGATTTGATTAAGCTTTCTGAGTGTACGCCACAAGGGTTGTGGAAAGTTGCCCGTATTACATCAGCTGGCCATACTTCAGATTGGGCTGCTATCAACTCTGCGTGGCAAGTGTTGAACCGTATTCTTGAAGTATCTCATGGGTTGATTCCTCACCAGCATTCGTTTCAGATCCAATTTCAAGAGTGGCTTGGGAAGAATAACATGACATGGACTCCAACCGAGCGTGACCGCTGCATCCTTCGTGTGCGGACGATGTTGCAAAGCCTGCTGGACAGGAAGAGGCGACAACTAGGTGCCCCGAAGCGTTTCCCACAACTCGAAGTTCTCATTAACCAGCTCAAGGTTGCGAAGCTCGAGGGTGCAGTCTCTGGTTCCGATGGTGCGGTGGCTCCTCCAGCATCCGCGCCTTCTCCTCGGAGGCGCTTACGGTCTAAGCAAGATGTCGTTGTCGAAGTGCCCGTCACCCCGAAGGAGATTGTCACCGTGGACGTCAGTGACACCGAGGCTAGCGGAGATGTCAATGTCGAGGACTTGCATGAGTTGCTCTTCGACAAGCAGGGCCCCATCACATCGACAAGTTCATCGACGGGCCCTTTGACTGCAGCGAGTTTGGCTGCGCTGGCCGCTGCTCCCCCGACAGGCCCATCGCCATCAGAGTACGCGGCAGTCACCCAGGCAGCGAAAGACAAGAAAGGCAAGAAACGCACAGCAACTGAGCCTGCTCACGTGGATGGCGAGGCGGCTGACGACCAGGCTGGCGCTCTACCAACGGCCAAGCCCAAGGCCATGAAATCCAAGGATAAAGTCAAGAAGGGGCCTCAGACGGCCTCGGATTCAGCATCGAAGGTCGATCCGATCGTTCCGTACCTCACAATGCAGGGTAGCAAAGCAGTGGTCGGCAACAAAGTATACTCCGCTGCGCACAGTTTGATGAAGAAGTATCGTTTAAGTCAGGGTGTTTCGATGGATGATGCCCTATCTTCCGCCCGCAAGTATGCTCAGAAATGCAGAGTTCGCTGGTCTTCAGTTTGGAAGCCTTCCGACAAGTAGGCGCAGAGTGCGGCGTAGGAGTTGAAGCATCATCGCCATCTCCTCCTCATCCTCCTCCTCCTCCTCTGGCATCGCGCTTGTGTCCTGGGGCTGTTTAGGGAATGGCTCTCTAAGGCGCCCTCTAGGGTGGGGCCCCTGTGGGGGCTCTCTCAGGTCATCTAGGGCGGGGTTCTGTGAGGTCCTCTACGGTGCTCCTCAGGTCCTCCACGGTGCTCTGAGGTCTCTATGGGGGGCTCTGAGGTCCACTACGGTGCTCTGAGGTCTCTGCGGGGGCCCACTCAGGTCCTTAACGAAGGGGCTCCTGGCATGATGGTATGGTGCTATGCGGTCTCATGGCGATGTGGATGATGATTGGTTGTTGCAGTCTCTGCGGAGTCATGGCAATGCTGATTGTAGTATGCATCTTCTTCGCGGGCTGGTTGCATGCTCAGGTGGAGGAGGAGGAGGAGGAGGGGGAGGAAGGGGAGGCGGAGAAGGAGGTCGCTGATAATGCGCAACGTGATTGTAATCACTTTAGAACATGTTGGGCGTGGAGGTGGAGAAGGAGGGGGAGGAGGAGGAGGAGGAGGAGGAGGAGGAGGAGGAGGAGGAGGAGGAGGGGGAGGAGGGGGAGGAGGACGAGGATGAGGACGCGAAAAAACCGTCGACGGTTTTTGTCGCGTGACCCTAACAGGGCGTTCGACCACAAGAAAAACAATACATTGCTGTTGCGCTGAGTTCCTAATGTCTGTACGTTCACGAGGTTGATTGCGCCCATACTTATAGCAGAGTTGCATCCTACCTTACCCACGCATTACATTACATACCTAAACAAACAAAAAACAAACCAATAACAACACTAACCAACTTACATCAACATGCGCATTCGTATCCCCCTAAACCAATGCCGATTTGGTTTCAACAAAACAGTCCGCGTAGCCATATTTTGGCTCAAGCTAGCCAGACGTTCTCACGACTCACGTCGCGTTTATGGCCGACACTTTTCAGCCTTTCAGCGGCGAGGGCATGCGCCTCGGAGTTGCTGGTGATGTGATCGCACCGCCTAGACAAGCGACACGGGCCGATGCTGGGCAGGACGAGCGTGGTTGGGTCCCAGCTCCTACGATCAACGTCGAAGAAGACTCTGAAGGTGATAATGCCCCGCTAGCGACAGCAGGGGCATCGGCGCCAGCGGCGTCGGCACCACCAGGATCGATATCCTACTACCTGGAGAAGTCCAACGACATCCTGGGGTTCATCGGGGAAATTCGTTCCATGAACATCGTCTGCAAGGCTGCCATCGAGAAGATCAGCGACCACAAATGGAACAGGGCGCTCAAGGACGAAGCGACGCTGCTGCACGGCGAGATGGAGAGCTTCTTCGTTGACATCTACAAGGAGGCGTGGAACGAGGATAACGTCGATGACTATGTCCACTTCGCGAAGGACAGCGCGGAGAACTTCGGGAAGAAGCTGCTCGGCATCAAGGCGCACGTCAACTTGGAGGACCGTGCTGGGGATTCGGACAAGGGGGAGGGGGAGTTCGACCCGAGGGGCGTGTTCTCGAAGATCGAGAAGGCGACGACGGAGAAACATTCGAAGCCCGTGGGGAAGAGGCCTGCTGCGAAGGAGACGGCTCCACGATCTTCAGCTTCGGCTGCAGGTGGGCTCGACATCGAGAAGGAGCTCGATTCTGTGCTCGCGCCCAAGGCGGCTCCTGGTGGCAAGCGCGGTCGGCCCAGTAAGGACAACACGGACTCGAAGGCCAAAAAGGAGAAGAAGGGCAAGAAGGCCAAGAAGGCCACGATCGATGACGGTTCTGATTGATCCCGTGGCTGCCTGCCCACTCACTCGCGCACGCCAGAGCTTCTTTCTGATCCCGTGGCTCGGCTGCCGCACGTTCACTCACTCGCGGACGCGAGAGATGCTGCCCGTCAGTGCGCCTGACACAGCTTGTGCCCCGTAGAGCGAGACAGGGAAAGTGAGAGAGAGAGAGAGAGAGAGAGAGAGAGAGAGAGAGAGATAGAGAAACACAAACAAAACAAATAAAACAGACCGAGTGAAAACGCAGAAACCATGGACAGTTACTCCTCCTCCTCCGTTTCCTCCTTCTCCTCTCCTCTGGAGTCAGTTGGCTCGTCTCGTCTCTTCCTCCTCATCCTGCTCTTCTCTCCACTCCGTGGATAGTTGCTCATCCTCCTCCTCGTCTCGTCTCGTCTCTTACCCCTTCACCTCCTCCTCCTCCTCTACGTCGGCCCACGACGGCCTGACAAAGCGGCCCAAGACGGCAGGGCCCCAAGTCATCTCGGGATCAGGTCGACGACGCAATTGAAGAGTGATTGAAGAATAGCTACTCTTCAATTTACTCTTCGATCAATTGTGGTCGTTCTGTGCATGGATCTTCTTTGGGCGCACCTCAAACGTTCTGACGATGGCCCAAGACGGCTTGGCATCGCGGCCAATATGGTCCTGCATAGCGTCCTAGATGGTCCAACACGCCCTCCAAAGCAGCCTAGCGTAACCGATGTTGCCCCAAGACGGCCCGAGATGGATCCAAGACGGCCCTTGGTTGCCCCCAATAGGCAGCAACAACCAAACATGGGCAAGGAACAACGAAGGATGATGCTAGGTAACTCTGGGTGTGAAGCGCGCATCTGGAATTGAAGAGTAAATTGAAGAATAGCTACTCTTCGATCACTCTTCAATCTATTCTTCAACCAGGTTTTTCACACATATATATATATATATGGTTTTATAACATTGAAGAGTAGATTGAAGAGTAATTGAAGAGTAGCTATTCTTCAATTTACTCTTCAATTGTTTGTGGTCCTTCTGTCCTCCGAGTGCGCTTCTGGCGTTCTGGGGTGTCTCTGAATCACTGGGCGGCCCCTGAGCCACTCAGTGTCCCATCAGTGTCTCATTGTTCCTTAGCCATTTTTCCTCAAGCATTTTTGCGAGAGGTCTCGAAGGAGATCGGTCGGGGTCCACGTGGGGCCGAAGCACGCCGCTGCTAAACTTTCCGAGCTCAGCCTGACACAGGAGGAGATAGAGTCGGCCAAGAAGATCCTGGCTGCTGCCGATCAAAAGAAACTCAACTCCATCAAGCAAGGGGTGAAATCGTTCCTGGCAGCAAATCCAGATAGCAACCTGAACAAGTCGAATCGCTACGACAACCAGTTCTTGCTGGCCTTCCTCGCGCACCAGTCAAGGTGCAGCGAGGCTACCAAACGTACAAGTTCGAAAAAGGAGATCGCGTCGAGCAAGGTGAAGAACGCCGACATCTACAGGATGTCCGTGAAGGAGATGGACGACAAGCTGGGCGTGGAAAAGGCTACTCTCTGGCGCAGCGTCTTGAAGGGCCTCCCCGACCTGCTGACGGGGCGAACGGATCCGCAGTTCCTCGAGTACGCTGTCCCACAGAACTGGGAGAGGATGAGCGAATCCGAGCTGGCCACCTTCCTCATCGAAGCCAATGGCGAGGCTACGAAAGAGGACATCTCGGCAGCCCTTGCCTTTGACGGGCCTGACATGCAGTTGGCGGGCATGGTCTCCAGCAGCAGCGGGGTGAACCCAGTGACGGTCAAGGCGGAGGCAGTCGAGAGCCAGGAGGAGACCGACAAGAAGCACCTTGCCTTGAAAGTTGCTGAGACCGAGGCGAAGTTGCCAGAGCTCGTGCGAGAATTTCAAGACATTCTCTTGGATATGAAGGTGGTGCAGGCGAAGGCTGCCAGTAAGGATGATCCGTATCATGAAGCTTTTCGCGCTGACCTGGCGGCCCACTGCAAGAAAGTGAAGACCACGAAGGACGTGCTGGAGAAGATGGCCACCCATGAGGCGAACCCGACTCAGATCCCGAAGCTCCTGAGGGCAATCGACGATCTCCGTGCCGAGAACCTTCAGCTCGTGGAGTTCGCCACCAAGAACGGCTACAAGGAGGAGAAGACGACCAACAAGCGCAGGAAGAAGAAGGAGAGTGCCTAAGAGACGCCAGCATGGGGGCGGCGTCGCCGTCGAGATCTTCTCGACGCTGGCACTGGGGCGATGCCACCAGAGCTGACTGTGCAGCTCTGCCGCAGAGCACAAAACGAGACACGAGCGCCTCAGCGCCCAGTGAAAAAAAAAACAGCTGAGCCCGTCTGATGTCTGGATAACAAGCCAAACAGGAAGGGCCCGAGGAAGGGCCCCCAAGAGCCCGAGGAAGGGCCCGAGGATGGGCCTCCAAGGGCCTCCAAAGGGGCCTCCAAGGGAGGGAGGGAGGAGGAGGAGGATGAGGAGGACCATACACTATGATATGCACACGACATACAGCCTTAAAAGTAATACATATGCACATTGTTTGGAATGCACACATCAAGGGATACACATGATCAAACTCAGTTATCGAGGGCATGATATCGAGGGCTTGGGGTACACATGATCAAACACAGATGTCGAAGGCATGGTATCGAGGGTTTGGGGTACACATGATCAAAAACGGATGTCGAGAACATGGTATTGAGGGTTTGGGGTGCACATGATCAAAAACGGATGTCGAGGGTGTGGCATCGAGGGTTTGGGGTGCACATGATCAATCACAGATGTCCAAGGAGACCCCATCCCAGGCCCGATGTCTCATGTGCAGGTTCTCTCTAGGCTGTTTGGGGTCTGCTGTGGCCACGGTGTTCTCCCAATGTCCCACGATTGATATCCGTGGCCAATTTGGGCTCAAACTCGCGAGCTAAGTTCTATGTACGTGTACTTCACATCAACGTAGTAGATGAGAGGTGGGGTCAAACAAAGGCTGGCCCAGGCCGGAGAGAATGATCTGGAATCGCAATCTCGGGCTGAGGAGGCCAGAGATCAGGCCCAGAAAAAACGTCGGGGGGGAACGCGCCAGAGACTGGACCACAACGAGGATCACGATGGGCCTCCTGATACGGACCCTCGGCAAGGGCAACTGTTTCGAGCTTTAAAAAGGGATTGGGACAGTGGCGTATTATCATCTTCTCGGGTTCAAGAATACGCTAGTGGAGCCAGGGCTCAGGGCGCTTCAGGATTAGACAAGCTTGCAGATATTGGATGTGCTGGAAGATATCAAGGCAACCTGTATCGCTATATCAAGGCTGCTCTTGGCTGGCCAACTGGCTGTCCACCAATAAGTTATATCAAGATCCCGACGAAGCGGGGTCCAGCATGTCCCCACCCTGTATTGTGGCCGCATGTTTTTGCACAGCACCTCTTTAAAGATCGTCTCGAGTTATTTCAGGGTCGCCTTTGTGGGCCAGTTGGAGCGTGCACTCACTTCTGGCAGAGCATTTCCGATTCCGCGTTTATGAAAAGACACCCCTGTCTACCACCAGAGATTTGGCAATATACCATACCTATTGGATTTCATGCCGACGGAGGCGGATTTAATAAGTATGACTCTCTATTCGGGCTATCATGGAATAGCTTGGTTGCTGCATCATCATCTGTGCAATCTCGGTTCTTGTTTACTGGCATTCGGAAGTCAGATATGACCGAAGAAACTTTGGACGTGCTGCTGCAGGCGTTCAGTTGGAGCGTCAACGTGTTGCTTTCAGGCGAGACCCCGCATGTAGATTGGCAGCAAAACGAATTGATGGGAGGTGGGCTCCCGCTGGCAGGAGGCTGGAGGGCGCAGGTCGTTCAAGTCAGGGGCGACTGGCAATTCTTTTGTCAGGCGTTTGGTTTCGCGCAGTGGAATGCTTCAGAATCGATGTGTCCATTTTGCAAGGCGTCCAATCTTCATCAAGATCGATTGTGGTATGATGTAAGTAGTAGTGCTGGATGGCGAGACACACTTTGGACTCACGAGCTGTATCTTGCTGATGCTATATCGAGCGGGAAAGTTGTTCCCGCGTTCTTTCGTGGGCAAGGACTCATCGGTCTGAGATTGGAGAATGTGATGGTTGACGTTCTCCACACGTTGGATTTGGGCTTGACTGCGGTGATAGTCGGCAGCGTCATGTTCACACTCGCGTGCATTCGGAAACGGTTGGGCGGTTCCACTTATGATCAAGGGGCAAACAATCTTTCGTGCCATTTGAAAGAGTGGTATAAGACCACTAAATGCACTTCCCGCATCAAAGGAACCCTGAGTCTCAACCGTTTGAGAAGCGACAAGGGCTGGGCTGTGCTGAAGGCCCACGGTGCTGCTACACGGCATTTAGTTGATTATTCCTTATTATTGCTACAGGATTTCGGAGATTTTGGTCATGGCCATTGGGGCTACCATGATCAGTTGGCGACGGGAGTATGCCAACTGTTGGAACGGTTCTACGTCATTCTTGGTTCCGAAAGTAGTTTCCTCTCTTCAGAGGCAAAGGCCGAACTTCCAGTTCTTGGGGATCAGCTCGCAAGCATGTTTTGTAAGTTAGCGAAATGGAGCCACGACAATGGGTATCGCACCTGGAAGTTGAAGCCCAAGCTTCACCTGTTTCAGCATCTCATTCTTCAGGCGCTGGTGTTCGGAAACCCGTCTTGTTGGTCTACATATATGGACGAAGATTTGGTGGGCAGGCTGATTCGCATAGCACATAGTGTGCACCCGACGACCATCGCGGAGTCCATGGTGTGCAAGTGGGCCCACTGTGTGTTCGACGATCTGTTGTTGGATTTGGACGCCTGCACGCACGGCTAGAAAAAGGTATTCCAACAGGCCTGCGGCCCATCCCGCATATGTATCCAACTTGCTTGCGGCGAGGAAGGGCCTCCAAGGGCCCCTAGGACAGCCACCAAGGGCCTCCAAGGGGCCACCCCGCGCAGGGCCACCAAGGGCCTCCAAGGGGCCTCCAAGGGCCCGAGGAAGGGCCACCGAGGGCCTCCAAGGGGGTCTCCAACAGAGGGAGGGAGGAGGAGGAGGAGGAGGAGGAGGAGGAGGAGGAACAACATACATTATAGTGTACATGTCATTTATATATGTGTATATATACATATATATGTATTCACAACTATACGTACATATATATATATATATATATATATATATATATATGGTATGTACACTAAGCTGTATGTTGTGCACATATGATATGTACACAACATACAGTTTTAAAGGTAATACATCTAAAATGCATTCGATATCCCGCAACACCTTTACATTATAACGCGACTTTATAATAATGCATGATGATGATGGTCGGGGTCTGGGCACCTCCCCCGGGGCCGGTTTTGTGAGGATGTCTCAAGCGAGGGCGCCGGTTTGGGATTCGTCACCGGATCCACCGGATCTGTCCGGAAACGGTGCCGGAGGCCGCTCTGGGCTCCTCTGGGCACCTCCCCCGGGGCCGGTTTTGTGAGGATGTCTCAAGCGAGGGCGCCGGTTTGGGATTCGTCACCGGATCCACCGGATCTGTCCGGAAACGGTGCCGGAGGCCGCTCTGGGCTCCTCTGGGCACCTCCCCCGGGGCCGGTTTTGTGAGGATGTCTCAAGCGAGGGCGCCGGTTTGGGATTCGTCACCGGATCCACCGGATCTGTCCGGAAACGGTGCCGGAGGCCGCTCTGGGCTCCTCTGGGCACCTCCCCCGGGGCCGGTTTTGTGAGGATGTCTCAAGCGAGGGCGCCGGTTTGGGATTCGTCACCGGATCCACCGGATCTGTCCGGAAACGGTGCCGGAGGCCGCTCTGGGCTCCTCTGGGCACCTCCCCCGGGGCCGGTTTTGTGAGGATGTCTCAAGCGAGGGCGCCGGTTTGGGATTCGTCGGCGGATCCGGATCCCGGATCTGTCCGGAAACGGTGCCGGAGGCCGCTCTGGGCTCCTCTGGGCACCTCCCCCGGGGCCGGTTTTGTGAGGATGTCTCAAGCGAGGGCGCCGGTTTGGGATTCGTCGGATCCACCGGATCCACCGGATCTGTCCGGAAACGGTGCCGGAGGCCGCTCTGGGCTCCTCTGGGCACCTCCCCCGGGGCCGGTTTTGTGAGGATGTCTTAAGCGAGGGCGCCGGTTTGGGATTCGTCACCGGATCCACCGGATCTGTCCGGAAACGGTGCCGGAGGCCGCTCTGGGCTCCTCTGGGCACCTCCCCCGGGGCCGGTTTTGTGAGGATGTCTCAAGCGAGGGCGCCGGTTTGGGATTCGTCACCGGATCCACCGGATCTGTCCGGAAACGGTGCCGGAGGCCGCTCTGGGCTCCTCTGGGCACCTCCCCCGGGGCCGGTTTTGTGAGGATGTCTGAAGCGAGGGCGCCGGTTTGGGATTCGTCACCGGATCCACCGGATCTGTCCGGAAACGGTGCCGGAGGCCGCTCTGGGCTCGTGCTCTTCGCGCCGGGGGTGAGGATGACGTGAGTTCCACAGAAACTCCCTCAAATGATGCTGATGATGATGCTGATCATAAACATAATGATGGTGCTGATGATGATACTTACGATGATGATGATGATGATGATGATGATGATGATGATGATGATGATGATGATGATGATGATGATGATGATGATGATGATGATGATGATGATGATGATGGTGATGATGATGATGATGATGATGATGATGATGATGATGATGATGATGATGATGATGATGATGATGATGATGATGATGATGATGATGATGATGATGATGATGATGATGATGATGATGATGATGATTGATGATGATGATGATGATGATGATGATGATGATGATGATGATGATGATGATGATGATGATGATGAATGATGATGATGTGATGATGATGATGATGATGATGGATGATGATGATGATGTGATGATGATGATGATGATGATGATGATGATGATGATGATGATGATGATGATGATGATGATGATGATGATGATGATGATGATGATGATGATGATGATGATGATGATGATGATGATGATGATGATGATGAGGAGGAGGAGGAGGAGGAGGAGGAGGAGGAGGGAGAACAGTGACGATACAGTCATGGTTGGATGAATGGCGGCGGGGTGAGTGGTGCTCTTCTGACTAATTCCATCCTTGCTCCCTCCACATCCTTGCCCTCTCCTCGTCTTCCCTCTTCTCTCCCTGCTCGCTGCTGTTTCTTCTTCCTCCCTCTCCTTTCTCGCTCCTCCTCCCTCCTGCCTCCTCCTTCATCCTCGCTCCTCCCTCGCCTCCTCCTGCCCCCTCCATCCTCCCCTGGCGCCTCCTCGATCCCTCCCTCTCGCGCCTCCTCCCCCTCCCTCGGCCTCGTCCTGCTCCCGCTCCCGCTTCCGCTCTCAACCTGCTCCTGCTCCTCCTGCTGCTGCTGCTCCTCCCCCCCCCACAGCACGTGGCGGGGCGCCCGCCCACGAGGTGGCATCGTGGTCATCCCGTCCGTGCCCACGGAGTGCCTCGTCGGTGCCCCTTCGGCGTCCCCGGGGTCGCGGCCCGACGACGACCTCGGCCTCTGCCCGCGTCGTCCTCTGCCGATGGCCTCCCCCTCCCCCTCCCAGGGCTCATCTCGCTTCCTCCTGTTCGATTGGATTCGATTCCGGTGGCCTCCGATTCCGAATCGATCCGACTTCGGATTCCGATTTGGATTCCGATTCCTCCGAGGAGGCCCGCTAGTCTGCGCCGGTTTCTGCCGATTCGACCTCTTTCGACGTGGCTGTCGATTTCCGCCGATCCGATGCATTTTGATCGCCGATCCGACTCGTCGATTCGATTTTGGGCTCTCTGCGCTCCCCGACCCCGGCTTGCTCCTGCTGCTCTCGATGCGGTGCCTGGGGATGGCGGGAGTGATGGCGGCAAGGGACTTGCTCTCTGCCCTCTCGCGATAACCGCCGCTGACGGGGGGGGAGAATCGCAGGCCTAGGGGTTGACACCAACACCAATATCGGCGGTGTTCCTCCACCGAGGGAAGAGGATCCCGATCTCGGTGATGGTGGTAATATTCTTGCTTCCAAAGTGACCAAAATATTACCACCGAAACCGAAATCGAGGATCATCTTCCCCCTGTGGAGGCAACCCCCTGTGTTGGTGTTGGTGCCAATTTCTGGGCCTCCTAGAGAAGAGGCCGGGGGCGGGGATCGTCACGATTCGCCCAAATTCCGCACGGGAATCGGCTGCCCCTAGCCAACGCGAATCGTGACATTACCCTCGGAGGATTGGGGGTTGGGCGTCCTTGGTAACGGGTGTCATCGCGAATCGTGAACAAAAACCCTGAAGGGGATGATGATGATGATGATGATGATGATGATGATGATGATGATGATGATGATGATGATGATGATGATGATGATGATGATGATGATGATGATGATGATGATGATGATGATGATGATGATGATGATGATGATGATGATGATGATGATGATGATGATGATGTGATGATGATGATGATGATGATGATGATGATGATGATGATGATGATGATGCTGATGCTGATGCTGATGCTGATGCTGATGCTGATGCTGATGCTGATGATGATGGTGATGGTGATGGTGATGGTGATGGTGATGGTGATGGTGATGGTGATGGTGATGATGATGATGCTGATGATGATGATGAGTTGCTGCTGATGGTGCTGATGATACTGTTGACGATGATGGTGATGATGATCATGATGATGATGATGATGATGATGATGATGATGATGATGAGGTTGACAATACTGATGATAATGCTGATGATGGTGATGATGATGCTAAGGATGATGCTTCTAATAATGCTGCTGATGCTGCAGATGAGGATGGTGCTGGTGATAAGGATGATGATGACGATGCCGACTAGGATGATGATTCTGATTATGATGATGATGGTGATGGTGATGCTGCTGCTGCTGCTGATAATGATGATGCTGGTAGGGGTGATGGTGATGATGATGATGATGATGATGATGCTGCTGCTGCTGCTGATGATGATGATGATGATGATGCTGATGCTGATGATGATGATGATGATGATGATGATGATGATGATGATGATGATGATGATCCGCGCGGACTGCAGGCAGGGCGCTCGCTCTCGGCGTGAGAGAGGTAGGCAGGTTTTTTGACTGATGCTTCTGTTGCCTTCCAGGAGGGGGATCCCGGGTACAGGCTCTGGGGCCTCTTTGGCCCCGCCCAGAACCTCTGCGGTACTCGGGATACCTCCAGAGCCCCGCCAGGAGGGCCTCGGCTCATCCGCCGAAGAGTTTCGCGACGGATTGGCGCTACGAGGCAAGAGAGGAGGGCGCGGCGGAGGACGTGCAGGAGAAGGATGATGATGTTTATGTTTCTTATGTTGATGATGATGTCGATGGTAGCGATGGTGGTGGCGGTGGTTGTGAGGATGATGATGATGATGATGATGATGATGATGATGACAATGATGGTGGCGATGGTGGTGGTGGTGGTGAGGATCCTCATCATGATGATGCTGCTGCTGATGATGGCGATCATACTTACGATGAAGGTGAGTACGAGGCTGATGACAATTCCGATGATGATGATGCTGATTGAGGGTGATGGCGATGCCGAGGCCGATGATAAGGCTACTGATGATGATGGTGATGACGATGATATTGGTGATGACACCGATTATGACCATGATGACGATGGCGATGATGATCATACTGATGTATACGACAATGTGGATAATGACACTGACCGATGATGATGTTCAGAATGACGACGGCGGTGATGATGATGATGATGATGATGGTGTTACTGGTCACGATGATCTTGATGATGACTATGATGAATGGTGATGATGTTGATCAATATGCGTATGATGACGATTTCGATGTTCGTGTTTGTGGTACTGATGATGCCGAGGCCAAACATGGTGATGATGCTGATGATGATGCTGATGATGAGGAGGAGGAGGATTATGATGAGGATGGTGGTGGTAATGATTATGATGGTGAGGATGATGATGATAATGATGATGATGGTGGTGGTGGTGGTGGTGGTTGCGGTGGTTGTTGTTACGTTGATGATGGAGATGATACTGATGACGACGCCGGTGATTGTGATAATGGTGATTCTGATGCTGATGATGATGCTTATGCTGATGATACTGACGATGATGATTATTATGATGCTGCTGTGAATGCTGATGATGATGACGACGATGAGTCCGCCCACGATGGCGCCGACGACGACGATGCTGATCATGATGATGTTGAGGAGGAGGATTATGATAAGGTTGATGATGATGCTGATGGTGATGCTGATGCTGATGCAGATGCTGATGATGATGATGATGATGATGATGATGATGATGATGGTGGTGGTGATGATGATGATTATGATGATGATGATGATGATGATGATGATGATGATGATGATGATGATGATGATGATGATGATGATGATGATGATGATGATGATTATGATGGAACTGATGATGACCTCGCACTTCGAGCAGGCGGGAATTTGCCGCGTGCACGTCTTCATGGCCCCCTACTGTCTCCGATGAGAGTGGAGCCCGACTCCGAGGACCCCCCCGAGGCCTCGCGACCGCGGGCAGCAGCAGGCGACCAGGCGCTGGCGTCATCCCCTGTGTGGGGGAGGAGGACTCCGAGCATCTGGTTGCCCCCGCATGCAGGCGTGAGGAGGAGGACTCCGAGGAGGACGCCGAGGACAGGAGCTGAATGAGGAGGAGGAGGAGGGGGAGGAGGAGGAGGAGGAGGAGGAGGAGGAGGAGGAGGAGGAGGAGGAGGAGGAGGAGGAGGACGAGGAGGAGGAGGAGGAGGAGGACGAGTATCTGGGCGGCGTGTTGTGTCGGCGCATGCTCGCGCGGCGGACCGCCGCCCGCCTGGCGCGCGGCCCCGTGCACAGGGCGCCTGCCGCCGGGACACTCGGGACCGCGTGCCGCCCCTCGCCGCGTCGACGCCGCCCGGCGCGTGTCGCTCGCGCGCGGCTCCCGGGCGTCGGCGCCCGCAGAGGGCCTGGCTCCGTCCGGGCTCTGCAGGGCCAGCCGCGGAAGTCTTGTGCGCTTCTTGCGGGCATCGTTGCCTCGGCCCTTCTTGCTAGCATGCGCGCCTTTCTCGGCCTCCCATAGATGGGGTCCGAGTGGATGGGGTCGGGGGATCGCGCCGCACCGCCGATGCATCGCCGATGCATCGCCGATGCGGCTCGATTTGGAGCCCGATTTGCTTCACGCCGACGTCGCCGATGCGTCGCCGACGTCGCCAATGCATCGCCGATGCATCGTCGATGCAACTATCGGCGATGCATCAGCGATTCGGCGCGATCCTCCGACTCCATCTACTCCGACCCCATCTAGGAGGCCTCTAACCTTTGTGCAAGAGGACCCAGCACGCGCGGGCACAACGCAGCGCAACACACACTCGACATCATTACGGCGTTACGCCCTGCAGATCTAGTGACTGGCGTGTCCGGCTGATCGGGGCGCCCTCGTAGCACTGGACGTTGGGATTTGCGCCCTGCCGCGGCAGGCGCCGGTGACGATTGCGTCGAGTTCATGAGGCAGCGCAAAGTGCAGCTCTACCTGCCCTTCGACAGGGATCTGGAGGCCGCTGGCTTGGAGTTCTGGCCCCTCACGTGTTCGTGCTTCGTGCGGCCGCAGGAGGTCTGCCGGCTCCTCGTGCAGAGCCCAGCGAAGCCGCTCAGTCGGCGCCACGGCACCGAGGTGCACGTCCACCATTGGACGGGTGGAGGCCCGCATCGCTGTGGACATCTGGCGGATGCCGGCGCGCATGGCTCGGGCCGAACGAAAGGGGGGGATATAGGGAAAGGGGGGGCTACGACATCTGCTGTATGTAGCTGGTTTCGGCCTCATCGCCGGGCCCATGCTTCGATACATTGGGCGCCTCCGGCGCCGGGAGGCGCCGGGAAAATCAGCTACGTGTCAGAGCATGAATTACCTCCCCCGCTTTCGCTTCCAGGCAAAACCAAGTCATACCACGCGCCTCCTCGTCAAGCGGCCTGTCCAGTACAGGCCGTAGTTTGGCATCGCTTGGTATCTCTTGGAAGCAAGGGTGGTCAAAAGCGAGGTAGGTTTGTTTGCCCCCTAACGTGAGCTGATTCTCAAACCCACCTTTGCCATCCCCCCCCTTTCGTCCGGCCCGAATGGTGCGCCTCCGTGCTAGCCTGTGTGCCCTGGCGCGCCGGCTCGCGTCATCCTCCTGTTGGGCGCCGTCCTTGGATTCGGGTCCGTGGGCGCGCTAGCTCTCTTGTCTCCGTCCCCCGTTCCTCTTTTCCTCCTCGCTCTGTCTGCTCCCTTTTCTCCTTTGCCTCCTCACTCTTTACTAGCTCCTCCTTTCCCTCTCTCTCTTCCCCTTTACTAGCTCCTCTTCTTTTTCCTCCCTCCTTCTCATATCCTCGCCATTTGCCTGCCTCTGTTGTCCCGCTCGGGAGCAGGCTCTGTCCTCCCCGGGCGGCGCCAGCAGTATGCGTTGTGTCGAGTTTGAGTGTGCCAGCTTTTCCTCGATCGGAGGCCCGAATTAGTTCGCTGCTCTCCTTTCAGTGGAGACCCACCCAGGAAACACCCTGCTCGCCTCCAGTGTGCCCTGGGTTTCTTGGGCTTCGATGGGTTTGCGATGGATAGCGTGACGTTCCCACACCAAAATCCATGGACGTCCTGGGGTCTCAGGGTTGGGTTTATTGTGGAAGGTTTCTTGTGGTCGGGCCCCTCCTCCTCCTCGTCCGTCCGCCCCCCTTCTCTCCCTCCCCTTTGCGTGCCTTTCGCGTGCACGGATGCACGACTGGCGCGCGCAGCCCTCTGAAGTTCCTCGTGATCGCATTGGTGCAGTCTTGCGGACCTGAGCTACAGCTGGGTCGTTTCATCGCATGTGTTGGTTTGCGTGCGTGGTGATGAAGAAACAGGTGAGGATAAGGTGGTTGTTGATGATGATGGAGATTATGATGATCATGATGGTAATTACCATGGTGATGCTGATGATGCTGCGAATGAGGATGGTGATGCTGCTTTTGACGATTATGAGTATGAAGATGCTGACGATCACAATGTGGACATGCTAAGTGACACGACCCAGCGTACGAGCCGCTCATGACACGCCTGCTGAACAGGATCGTCGATAACATGGGCAGAGGTTGGCTACCCCCGCACATCAACCAAGACCCGGTGCAGTGGTGGAGGCGGGATTACAACAAGGTGGCCGACGGCTTGGCGGATCTCACCATGGACAAGCTGTGCGTATGGACAAGGAAATACACGACTATTCAACGCATAAACAATGCCAACCTCATCATCCAGACAACCGGAGGACTTCGTGAACGAGACTGCGCAGCAGCGTCGTTCGTCATCGGGCTCTGGGGTAAGCGGGATACCGAGGACGACGACAGCGAGTATTATTACGAGCCGTGGATAGCACATGGCACATTTCTAGAATTACCTACGACCATATTCGGCGCAGAAGGAATAGCATTGATGAGGCTTCCCGGGAGGCTGCTGCCCTTCTTGCAACAAGAGTGTAGGAACATTTGAAGTCTGAGGTTTCTTGGGCTGTGGCAATGAAGAAAGAAAGACGACCACGATGACGATGAATACTAATACTGATCTGATGATCGTGATGATGATGATGTTGATGATCATGCTGGTGATGATGCTGATTCGGGCTGTGATGATGGTGGTGGTGGTTGTGATCATGATGTGGGTGGCCATGGTGCTGATGGATCATGATGATGATGACGATGATGATGATGATGATTATGATGATGATGATGATGATCATGATGATGATCATGATGATGATGATGCTGATGATGATGATGTATACTGCGATGGAAGCCTGGAGGGTGATAATCATAATGGTTCTGGTGGTGGCGGGGATGATGATGGTGACGATGATGGCGATGATGCTGATCATGTGGTTTTCTAATGCCTGCGTTGAGGTTGTTGATGCTATTAATGATGATGGTGATGATGATGAAGATGTTGATGATGGTGTGCTGCTGGTGATTTGGCCAGGTGGCTGTCGTGATGATAGTGGCGGGAGGTACGACGACGATGATGACAATCCCATAGGGTCTGTAATGCCACCGTCTATCCAAAAACCTCGGTCGGCAAATACACTCGTCCTTCCCCTCCTCGTCCATCCTTTCTCCATCATCATCATCATCATCATCATCATCATCATCATCATCATCATCATCATCATCACCATCACCATCACCATCACCATCACCATCATCATCATCAGCATCAGCATCTACATCCTCATCCTCATCCTCATCGTTATCCGCATCATCACAATCACTACCATCCGGCATCCTCCCCACATCATCAGCGGTGGCCAGCGCGGGGAACTGACAATTTTCTCAGTGGCGTTTCGGGTTCCAATCCGTCAACCCCGCGCAGAAAACGTTCACAGTATTGTGTGTTTGGTTTAAAGAGCCTTCGCGGTGAAGGGTGGAAAGGAGGAGGTGGGAATCACGAGGGGGAGGGGGAGGAGGAGGCGGAGGCCCCCCATTATCATTCTCGTTCTCCTGACCCCCTGCCTTCCTGTCCCCCCTCCCACGCGCCCTTTTGCCCTCGCCTCCTCCCCCTGTATCGTCTCTCCTTGTTCCCCTCATATTGCCCTTCCCCTCATCGTCATTCCCATTCCCTCATTGTGCTACTCCCCTTCCTTTCCCCTCCCCTTTCTCATCATCCCTTTGTTCCTTCTCATTCCCCCGTCCTTCGCCCTCCTTTCTCCTCCCCCGTCCTCCTCTTTCTCCTTCCCCTTTCCCCTCTTCCCCTTCGTCGTCCCCCCCCCCTGCCGCCCTCCTGATGCTGGTTGTGCTCCTCCTGCTCCCTCTCCACCTCCGCTCCTCCATTCCCCCCCGACGTCTGGCGTTTTTCCATCCCCCCCACTTTTCTTCCTCATCCTCCTCTTGTCCCTTCTCCTCCTTCGTTGTTTAAGGTTCTGCTTTTCCTTCCCCGCCCTCCCCCCTCCCCCTCCCCGTCCTCAGCCCCCCCCCCTCGCCAGCCTTCCTCCGCCCCCACCCCTCTGTGCCCCCCCGTTTCCATCCAAGCCCCCCTCCCCGTCCGTCCTCCCCATCCTCCTCCCCTCCTTCTTCTTCGCCTCTCCTCCTCCTCCTGCTCTTCTTCAGCCGCCCTCCTCCCCCTATCTTCCCGCGACCTGCCACGTCTGGTGGCAGTGTGGCATGGTAGATCTCGTCACCTTGGCAGAGGAAGAACAGGTGCATGCGCGAAGTGTCTATCGGAAAAGCATGCCCGGCGCCGGGCGAGGTATGGCAGTGGCGGCGCTGGTGGCCGCGGCGTGGCGCAAGCGGCTGCAGGAGCCGCCGCTAGGCCATGGCCTACACTTGAGCATTCGGCGGGGGAGAAGCCGTCGTCGCCGTCGAGTTCGGGGGAGGAGGCGTGAGAGGAGGAGCAGGTGGGGTTTGGGAGGGGAAGTGTAACTAGGGCGCTGGCTCACGCAGCGAAGAACAGGAGAGAGAGAAGTGTCGAGGACAAGCGTACCTGGGAGGACGTGGAGAAGGAGGAGGTGGGACGGAGGATGAGGGAAAGGAGGGGGAGCAGGAGGGGGGAGGAGGTGGTGGCGAGGGGGAGGATGATGGCGGGGTGAGAGGTGGGGGCGGAGGCGGAAGCAGAGGGCGAGCATGATGATGCGGATAAGGATAATGATGATGATGCTGCTGATGATGATGATGATGATGATGATGATGCTGACGCTGACGCTGATGGTGCTGATGATGGCGATGATGGCGATGATGCTGATGCTGATGGTGCTGATCATGATGCTGGCTGATGGTGATGAAGATGGTCTTGATGGTGATGATGATGATGATGATGATGATGATGATGATGATGATGATGAAGCTGACGACGATGATGCTGCTGATGATGATGGCGGGTGTGATGCATGCTGCTGTTGTTGTTGACCATTATGCTGATGGTGATGGGGATGGTGACCATGGTGATGATGGTGGTGTTGATGATGCTGCTGGTGATCATGCTGATGCTGCTGATGATGATGCCGATGCTGGTGCTGCTGCTGTTGTTACTTGCGAGTATGCTGATGATGTTAATGTAGTTGAAACTGCTGTTATTGATGATGATTCTGATCATGATGCTTAACTATGATGGTGCTGGTGGTGATGGTGATGACGCTGCTGCTGATGCTGATGCTGATGGTTATGGGATGCTGCTGAGCATGCTGATGCTGCTGATGATGCTGCTGATACTGCAGGTGCTGCTGATTATGACGATGCTGATCAGGGTGAGGAGTATGATGAGGCTGATGATGATGATGGTGCTGATGATGCTGATGCTGATGCTGATGCTAATGATGATGATGGTGGTGTAGGTGTTGTAGGTGGTGGTGGTTGTGGTGGTGGTTGTGGTGGTGGTTGTGGTGGTGGTGGCGATTCGAGTGGTGATGAGATTGGTGGTGCTGGCGATACATGGTAATGATGCTAATGATGATGGCTTTGGTGGTGTAGATGATGACGTGGAGGATGAGGGTCTGGGTTCGCATGGAGTCCCCACTCCCCATGTCGGGAGCTCCACCTACAGCCCCAAAGTGGGTTCGCATGGTGTCCTCCCGTCTAATTCGGCGCACCCTGTGCACAGATCCTGCCCACAGGCAGCGAGCGTTCGCACTGTGTCCCCCCTCCCTCTTCGGCGCACCCCTCACGCGCATGCTGCCCTACACGGAGCTCCACTCCTGGCCCCGGACACAGGCTTCACAGAGCGTCCCGCCCCGCCGCACGCCCATCGCGCGGGTCGTGCCGCACAGGGAGCTCCAGCTGAGGCCCCAGCGCTGCGGGTCCAGCCGCGGCGCCCGAGACGAAGCCGCCAGCTCTTAGAGATTCTCGATTTATCATCATCCGACACTGTCCTCGTCCTGGCTTCGTCCGATGGCGTCCCCCGCCCATGGCACGGCTCGTGCCCCGCAGAGGGGCTCCACCTTCGGTGCCAGAGACAGTGTTCGCATGCCGCCCCACCGGCTATGTTTTACCAGCCTCGAACATATCCTTATCCCTATGCTGGGCACCTCCTCATCACGATGCCAATCTTAGGGATTCCCTTATTTTTTGAGGGCGAATCCCTAAGATTGTCATCGCCTTTTGGCGTGTCAATCTTAGGGATAGGGATACGTTCGAGGCTGGTAATTGTTGGCATGCGCGCGCCTGGGACATCCCAGCGCAGCCTCCCGCATCCCCCCACCCTCTTCTTCGAGTGGCCTCGGTCCTGGAAGGGCCTCCCAGGGGCGTGCACGCTGGTCGTTGAACGTAGTTTTGGTCGGAATCTGAGATCCCAGTCTACTTCAAGCGCCTGCCTACTTCAGTAATCGATGTGTTTGGCTCAGGTTTGTTACTCTTTGGGCGGGCCCGAACCCAATCTGCTTTATCCGCATTCCTACTTCATGTTTCTACCTATGTCTCCGACCGACGTGTCGCCGCTGACCGACTGGACCGTCGTAGAGAACTCCTGCGTTGTTTACACCCTTGTGTGGCGCCTGCTTCACGACGCGAGCTGGCGTGACACAAGCATGGCCAGGCCTTTCTCTCATTAGTGTGCGGATAGCCCAGGTCCTCGGTGCCTTGATCTTCGATGCTGCTGCCCCTACCCCCCGCTCTCCTCCATCTCCTCCTCCTCCTCCTCTTCCTCTTCTCCTCCTCCTGCCTTCCTCCCTCCCCTCTCTCCCTCCTCCCTCGTTGCCTCCCAGTCATCCGAGGTCTCGATTTTTGCTCAAAACGGGGACCCTGGAATTCTCGACCTCTTACCCAGGGCTGTTTTTTATTGCTTCCCGAGTCATTTTCTCAACAGGCATCCGAGGTCTCGATTTTTGTTCAAAGCGGGGTCCATGGTAGTCCCGACCTCTTCTCAAGGGCTGTTTTTTTGCTTCCCGAGTCGTTTCCTAGACGACCACGTGGCCTCGCGAGGATCCCCAGTGGCAGGAAACAGAAACAACAACACCCTTCGTGATCTTGCTACGACGTGAGGGGGGGCGGGGTTCCGGCCATCCCTCCCTCGTGCCTGCCCCCCCCCGCTTCCCTCCCTCAGGGCCCATTTCGATCCGGTTCATCCGATTCGCGATATCGGCCCCAGCCGGCCCGAGCCGATCCGATTCCGCTTGTCCGGCGACCCGATGCGGCTCGATGCTTGCATGGCGCTGCTGCGCCTCCTGGCGCCGCCGATGCGAGTTCGCCTCCGCCTCCGTGCCCGTGCGGTCCGAGCCGAGGCACATGTCGACTCGGTCCGAAACTCCGGTTCTGTGCTGATTGATCCTGCCGGAGGAGGAGGAGGATGAGGAGGAGGAGGGGGAGGAGGAGGAGGAGGAGGAGGAGGAGGAGGAGGAGGAGGAGGAGGAGGAGGAGGAGGAGGGGTAGGTGGAGGCAGAGGAAGGAGGAGGAGGAGGAGGAGGAGGAGGAGGAGGAGAAGGAAAAGGAGCAGGAGGAGGATGAGGATGAGGAGGAGGAGGAGGAGGAGGAGGAGCAGAACGAGGAGGAGGAGGAGGAGGAGGAAGAGGAGGAGGAGGAGGAGCAGAACGAGGAGGAGGAGGAGGCGGAGGAGGAGGAGGGGGAGGGAGAGGAGGAGGGGGAGGAGGAGGAGGACGAGGAGGAAGAGGAAGGGACGAGGAGGATGAGGAGGAGAGGAGAGGAGGAGCAGAACGAGGATGAGGAGGAGGAGGACCCTCCATCCCGAGGCGGGCTGCACGCCGGCGCCGCGGAGCACCCGCTCCTCGGCGACGCGCCCCGCGGCGGCGGCGCAGCGGCGGCGGGCGCCGCCTCTGCGAAGGCCGCGCCGGGCGCCCCCGCCGCCGGCCTGCGCCGCCGGCCTGCGCCGGCGGGCCTGCGCGAAGCGGCCCTCGGCGTTGGTCGCCGAGGGCGTTGCGCTGCTCGCAAAGTTGAAGGGGCCCAAGGACACACACACACACATAAATACACACAAATAACAATATTCCCCATATTTTCCTATATTTTCTGGGTTTCTGTCTTCCCCCCCACTTCCCATATTTTCCCATATTTTCTGGGGAATCGACGATTAATTGTGTCTGTGTGTTTCTTTTCCTCCTGAAAAGTGCCCACTCGCAAGCGTCCGCCTCGATGTGATGTACCGTCGGGGCGCTGAAGAAGGAACCCTGTTCGTTGGGGAGGGGCTCCGTGTTCCTTCATTGTTCCACACCTTGCCCAAGGTTTTCCTCAAGCTTTCGATGGGAGGTCGAAGGTTAACTTATGAAAAAAGGGGCCTCGTTCCTTATTCAGGGTTCCTTGGGTCAGCGCCGTCGGGGCGCTGAAGAAGGAACTCTTTTCGTTGGGTAGGGGCTCCGTGTTCCTGAATTGATTCGCAGTTCGCCCCACGTTATCCTTGGGCTTTCGAAGGGAGATCGAAGTTCATCTTCGGGAGAAAAGGGGCCTCGTTCCTTATTTCGGGTTCCTTGGGTCAGCGCCCCGACTGTATCGTCGATCCCCCACGGCGAATCCAGGCCATTTGCGAGCAGTGACTTTGTGAGTAGCGGAACGCGCCTGCCTGGTTGGGCTCGAGTCTGGCGTGTCCTTCCAAAGGAGGGATATCCACACATAAGTCAAACAGATAGGCCAGGGGACGATTTTGGTCGATGTTTATTTTGGACAAGTTTTTGAAGTTCTTCAACTATTTTCCATTTTCCTCCCAAATCCGTATGTAGGAGGGCATACCCGGCCTGAGCATTCGCGGCGGCCCTATGCGTTGGGCGTCGCACGACACATTTGCTGCAGAAGTGCCGTCGGTTGGAGGCGCATGTCCAGACCAGCGCGCAACTGTGCACCTCGCGGCACAGGCCGCAGAGGTGCCCTTCTCGACTACACGTGCCCATCGGTCGTTGGAGGTGTGCATTCTTGGCTTCTCAGACTCCGACCTACTTTGGGGGCCTTCCTACTTCAAGGGTCGAGTGGCTGCACCTTTTCCGTCCTCCGTGGGGGGGGGGAGGCGGACAGCCGATCATTTTTCAACGCCTCCCTACTTCATGTTTCTACGTCTTTCTTCCCACCAGCGGGTGAGCGCTGCCCCTCGCCGGAGAGACCCCTGGGGCGGGCCCAGACGGCCCTCCCGATCGCCGAAGGCGATGCGATAGAAGCGGCCTGCGCGATTGGGTTTGGCCTCCCCGCGCCCCCCACAGGCCGCGCACCAGAGGTCACTCTCGCCCACGCAGGGTGGTCGCTCCCGACGTGCCGCCGACCTTCTCCTGTGCGGCGGCGCGAGGACGCGCAGGCGGCCGCGCGTCGCGGCCGGCGAGGCGCAGTGTCGGGTATAGCCAGGACCCGAGGTAATCAGGAGGGAAAAATACACACAGACACAAATTCATCGTTGATTCCCCAGAAAATATGGGAAAATATGGGAACTGGGGGGGAAGACAAAAACTTAGAAAGTATTGGAAAATATGGGGAACCTTTTTATTTGTGTGTATTTATTCGTGTGTCCCAGGGCCCCTTTCAGGTAAGGGGACCTGTTTAGTGGTAGGGCCCTGGCGCCTCTAAACTGACCAGAATCACGAAACCAGGTCGGCCGTAGCTTGTGTTTTTTCGGGTGACGGCACAGTTCCACTTAGTGGACCGGGGCGGGGAGGGGTCCCCCAGTACACTTACCAGCCTCGAACGTATACCTATCCCTAAGATTGACACGCCAAAAGGCGATGACAATCTTAGGGATTCGCCCACAAAAAATAAGAGAATCCCTAAGATTGGCATCGTGGTGAGGAGGTGCCCAGCGTAGGGATAGGGATATTTTCCAGGCTGGTAATACACATCATTGAACCAGGTCCCTTTAGACCCGGTTCTGCCGAAGCCCGACAATGCTGGGTCAGAAGTTCCAGGGTTCTGGGTGCTGGGTTCCCCCGTTTTTTTTTTCGGGGGGATCCTGATGGGAGTTTTCGGAGCTAGTTTTGTTTTTGATGGTGGGGCCCCAGAAGCCCTCGAAAAAACTTTGGAAACAGTTGGGGGGTTTTCAAGGGTTTCCCCCCTGGGGCCTGGGCTGACCAGAGAACCCCGAAAACCGCCCCCAAACAGCCGACGCCTTCTCGAAACCTTCAGAACACCCTTCCCGAGAGTCCCGGGAGGCTTCCCGGAGGGTCCCGGGAGTGTTTCAGAAGGGTGTGCGCTCAGGGGGGTGGAGCCGGTCCCTGGCGAACCCAGGGCTCTACAACGCTGGGTGCCCCAGCTGAGAGCACCACCTCCTCTCCTTTATCCCCCCTCTCGCCTCATCCTTCTCTGGGAGGAGTCGGGGACAGGATACAGGATGAGGGTGGAAGATGGAGGATTGATGAAGTGGAAGGGTGATACAGGATGGATGGTGGATGGGGATGATGATGATGATGATGATGATGATGATGATGATGATGATGATGATGATGATGATGATGATGATGATGATGATGATGCTGATGCTGATGCTGATGCGATGATGATGATGATGATGATGATGATGATGATGATGATGATGATGATGATGATGATGCTGATGCTGATGCTGATGCTGATGCTGATGCTGCTGCTGATGCTGATGCTGATGCTGATGCTGATGCTGATGCTGATGCTGATGCTGATGATGATGGCAAACGGTGATGATGATGAGGAAGGGGAGGATGGACGGATGTATGTACGGATGGATGGATGGATGGATGGATGGATGGAGGGTGGAGGAGGAGGAGGAGGATGGAGGATAGAGGGGTGGGCGAGGCAGACGAGGATGAGGAGGAGAGGGGTGGAGGATGGAGGATGCTGGAGGAGGAGCAGGGACTAACGTGTAGCTCGGCCCCCGAGGCCGGCGTGGACTTCGGCGGCGATCTCGCAGACGCTCTGCAGAGGATCGGCGCCGCCAGCCGCTGGCCGCTGTCCGACGACGTCGCTGTCGCCGGTGCCGCCGCGGCCGTCGCCGCCGATTGGAGGATCGTGGCCCGAGTGATCCGGGTATACAGTGGGGGCCCATGCCAAGAAACACCCTGCTTACCTCCAGGGTGCCCTGGGTTTCTTGGGTTGCGATGGTTTTGTTGTGGAAGGCGTGTCTTTCCAACGTCAGGGATCAATGGACATCCTGGGGTGTCAGGGTTGGGCTTCTTGTGGAAGGTTTCTTATGGTCGGTCTCCCACTGTAGTCAGAAAGGATCGCTCAAAGAAGAAAGCACGGCATAGACACAAACTTTCGAAGCTCCGCGCGGGCGTCCTGTATCTGCGCTGGAAGCCCACGGCGGCGCCTGCGGCGCCGCCCCCTGCCGCGCTCACGGAGGAGGGTCAAGCGCATGTCCGTGACATCTGCGCGGACCTCCAAAAGTTCATGTCTGTGCAGTGTTCTGTATTCCTGCAGTCATGACGAAGGTCGTGGCTTTCCAAGGGTACGCTTCCAGTCATGCATCCTGGGCCAGTCCTTGGCCACTGCACGACGCTTGCCAGCTCTGCCTGGAGGGCCTCGACCTGTGCGGCCGAGGCCCTCGCCTCCTTCCCGTGCGACCCTCCGCTCCTGCCGCGCTGTGCACGGTTCAAGGGGCGGCGAGCCCATCGCCATCGCCGCGGCCGGTTCCGCCTCTGGATTCTGGCCAGCACAAGCTCCAGGGCATGGCCCAGGGGTTGTCGCCGTCGCTGCTGCCGCCGTGGTTGCCTTAGCATCGTCGCCCTGTGCTCCTCTTGTCGTCGCCGCGATCATCTTACTCTCCCTCGTCCTCATCCGTCCTCCGCCCTCGTCCTTGCCGTCGTCCTCGTCGCCGTCGTCGTCTGTCTCGTCCTCCTTGACATCGTCCTTCTCCTTGTCGGCATATGCTCGTCGCTGTTCTCGTCCTCGGCCCCTCTGTCCTCCTCCCCATCATCTTCCTCCTTTCAGGAGGGAAAAAACACACAGACACAATTAATCGTCGATTCCCCAGAAAGTAAAGGAAAATATGGGCAGTTGGGGGGGGAAGACAGAAATATTGGAAAATGTAGGGGATTATCTTATTTGTGTGTATCTATTTGTGTGTCCTGGGGCCCCTTCCTCCTTGTCATTGTCGTCGTCCTCCTTCTCCTCCTCGTCCTCCTCCTCGTCGTGCCGGTCTCTCCCCGCCGTCCTCCTCCGCCGTGGCGGCGCGGCGGCCTCGAGGGAGGCGCGGTGTGCTCTTTGCTCCGTCGTCGCGCCATCCGCCTTCGCAGGCTTTGCTGTTCGCCAGCGAGCACGGAATGGTGCTGCTGATGACGATGATGATGATGAGGAGGAGGAGGTGGAGGAGGAGGACGATGAGGAGGAGGAGGATGATAAATGATTACTAATACTAACAACACTGCGAACCATCATCAAGGAATAATAATAGCACTGACCATACTATTGAGGAAGAGGAGGAAGGAGGTGGAAGAGGAGGGAGTCGCAGGAGGAGAAGGAGGAGGGGGTGGAGGAGGAAGAGGAAGAGGAGGAGGAGGCGGAGGAGGAGGCCAGAGGGGAGGGCGCTCATGCTGCGGGCGAGCGCGCTCCATAGCATGATCGAGAGAAAAGAACAGGGGGAGGAGAGGAGGAGGGGAAGAAGGCCGAGGGAGCAGCAGGGGGGAAGGAGGGCCGGGGGGGAGGAGGGGGAGGGAGGAGGGATGCGGGGAGGAGGGGGGAGGGAGGATGGTAAGCAGAGAGCCGGGGAGGAGGGAATCGGGAAGGGTGGGGAGGACGAGGAGGGGGATGATGAGGCAGACCGAAGATAGCGAGGAGGAGCAGGAGGATCGGGGGGGATGAGGACGGAGGGGAAGGGTCGGGAGGGTGGGTGGAAAGGAGCGGACGAGGAGGGTGGAGGAGAGGCGTCTTTTTGGCTGTGAAGCGCCTGCAGGCATCAGGGTTCGTAGCCGCCGCGCTCCCCCAGGAGGGAATCGGCTCGGAGCTTCTCGTCTGTCTCCCCAGACACCTCTGCCTCGCTGGTCTGGACCCTTGCCGGGCGCCTGCGGCGTCCTCGCTCCGTCCGTCCCTCCTTCCTCTTCCTTCTGGAGGATCGATGATCGAGGTGCTCGTCCGCGTTCGGCATTTGCTTGTCCTCCCGCGGCAATTCTGGCTCAATCTGCGCTTGCGTGTGCAATGCTTGATGGGTGGCCAATGACTGGACAAGGCTTGCCTCGAAGAGGCAGGACTCCACAGCACATCTAAGGCAACATGTTGCGAAAAACTGTCGTCGGTCATTGCGCTTTGTGGTTCCGTTCCAGCGATCTTCGCCTTGACGACCACACTGCACTTCACGCGGCCTGTCATGATGCAAAGTCTCTCTTGCCAGTGTATGTATTCGATCCGCTGTGCTTCAATGCTCTGACGCGGTACGGCGGTGCTCGTAAAAGCACTGCTCGCAGGGCACGGTTTCTATTAGAGTGCGTGGCATCGCTCCGGCTGAGATTAGAGGAGCACGGCTCAGGGTTAGCCGTCGCACTCGGCAGTCCCGCGGACATCATTCCAGTTTTATGTGCCGATTGCGAGGTGGTCTTTGTCACTGAGGGTTTTTGCAGTGAGGAGAAGCTAGAGGAGGCACGAGTCGCTTGGAAGTTGATGCACGGTGGGTTGAAGCGCGTCTGGGGAGGAACGCTTTATTTGCCGACGGAATTGGGAGGATATGATCCAGACAACGTCCCGTTGGGGCATAACCAGTTCAGGAACAATTGTAGGTCGAAAGGTCGAATACGAGCCCCAATCCCGGAACCTTCGAGATTGCCACCATTGCTACAACATGATCGGATACATTCGAGGCGCTTGGCGATGACCGTCCGACAAGTCTGGTTCCTTGCGGGAAGAATCGAGGCTGTCGCCAAGACGGGATAAAAGGCATGCCGAACATAATCAGAAACGGTCTCGCAGGTGCATGGTGTATTTCTTCTCATGTCCTAGGCACCCTTCTCGTCCATGCTATCGCCGATTCGAGTCGGGTACTCTGTTATCTGGCTTATCGATAGTTTGACCTCTGTCTGGCCGTCGGCTCCCCATCATCGCCGTGGGACGCTGATTCTCTGGACCTTTGTCCCCTACCCGCAGCACAGTCCATGCATGGCCAGACCAGACCACGGGCCCAGAGGCGCCGAGGTGTGCCGAAGAGGGCTCCGAAAATGGCTGAGGCTCCAACAAGGGCCCGAGGCGGCCCCTTGGCATCGCTCGGACGTGTGCATCCTTGATCATTTGGCATCCTTGATCATTTGGCGAAAAAACCACGCACGAAACCGACAAAAGCACAGGAAATGGACGTCCAAGCGATGGCCAGGCCCAGGAGGGGGCTCTTGACGGCCCAAGCGCGGGCATCCCCGTGTTTTGGCCCCAGACCCGGCCGTTCCAGGCCCGTGCAGGGGCCAGCTCGGCTCTCGTGTTAAGCCCAGGTTGGGTCCAGAGCAGTCAACACCATGCTTTTGGAGCGTCTTCAAGACGATGCTTGAACTTACAGTGCGCGGCATGCAACGACGCAGCTACGGCACCAAGCTTATCGGGCTTCATTGTATCACCATCATCCCCATCATCCGTCATTTGAGCTTTCAGTGCACGTCATGCAACGACGCAGCTGCGGCAATCAGCTTATCGGGCTTCATTGTATCACCATCATCCCCATCATCCGTCACACCTTCACAGATACTTGGTATGGCTTCAACGAATATGTGGGGAACTCTCGGAGATAGCTTCGTGCGCCGACATTAACCGTGGCACGACTCCCGATTCCCCGACTCCGGAGGCACGACTCCCGATCAGCTCGCTGACACGAATGGCGAATCCCCGACTGGCGGCAGTTCTATGTCTCTCCGACTCCGGCTCCGACTCCGGCTCCCATCTTTCCGACTCCGGCTCTCCCATCTCATCCGACTCCGGCTCCGACTCCGGCTCCCATCTTTCCGACTCCGGCTCTCCCATACCATCTCTCCGACCCCGGCTACGACTCTGGATCCCATCTTTCCGACTCTGGCTCTCCCATCTCGTCCGTCCGACTCCAGCTCCGACTCTAGGTCCCATCTTTCCGACTCCGGCTCTCCCATCTCATCCTTCCGACTCTGGCTCCGACTCCGGATCCCATCTTTCCGGTTCCGGTTCTCCCATCTCATCTCTCCGATTCCGGCTCCGACTCCGGCTCCAACTCCAGGTCCCAATTTTCCGACCCCAGGTCATCCCATCTCTCCGACTCCGGCCCCGATTCTTATTCTCATCTTTCCGACGGTGGTCCCGACTCGGGTCACATGTGTTCGACTGTGGCAGTACGTGTGGTTCTTCTTTTCCGACTGCGGCTCCGTCACCCACTCCCATCTTTCCGACCCGGATGCCATTTCCCGACCCCGGCTTCTGAGCGGCGCCCCGGCGCTCTCCCGCCGCACCTTCGTAGGTGCCTCGACGCGGGCACTTCTCTTGTCTTGTTTGAAGTTCCAGTGCTTTTGCAACCTATGGCGCAGACGAGCCCGAACACTTGCTGTAAGAGGCTGTAAGAGGCCAGACTGGAATCATCAAAGAGACGTTGCCGACTTGTCGGCAAAGTGGGGCCGAAGAGGCGCGAATTCTGGGCGCAATAGGAGCCGATCCTGGAGGCCGGAGACGCGTGGAGCGACAATCGGTTCCGAAAGGGTGGTGAGACCGATCTTGGAGTCGGGCTCGTCTTGAGCGCTGTGTTGGGAGCCGTCGTGGGCTCCAAAACATGGCTTGCGCCGCATCGGGCGGCGGAACGGCGGGCGGAGCCTGCCGTGGTAGCACAAACTGGGGCTGACGCCATGGAGTTGAGAGGAGCTTGCGGAGACAAGTGTCGCACGCCCCTCAGCCCGACGGGTGAGCGGAGCCTGTCATTCTCCAGGCATGCTCGCGTCGTCCAAAGATGGCGACGAGCGGTGTTGTGGGCCGCGTTTTCTGCCCCTGGGGGCCCTCGCCGGGCCCCTGGACCGTCCAGAGACGTCTGCGGATGACCCCCGTCGAATCACGCCCCCAGTTGGGGATGCACCCCTCGAAACCCGAAGGGAACGGCCTATATCCCCATCTAGGGGGGAAGGACGGCCAGTGGGGCCCAGGCCACGCCGCCGGGGATGGGGATCGTTAAAAACGATACTCAAACAAGTGATCGGGCGCGACTATGTCATCGGCAACAACGCCGGATGATCTCGGGCTGCCTCGGGGCAGTCCTGCATGGGCATCGGAGGACAGCCGAGGAGCTTTCGGGGCCGTGCAGGAGCCATCGCAGGCTTTTCTGGGTGCCCTTCTCAGGAGTTCTGGGGCAATTTTGCCGAGTGTCAGTCAGGAGGGGAAAAAACACAGACACAATTCATCGTCGATTCCCAGGAATGTAGGGGAAAATATGGGAAGTGGGGGGGAAGACAACACCCAGAAAATATGGGGAAATATCGTGAATATTTCTATTTGTGTGTATTTATTTGTGTGTCCCAGGGCCCCTTCAGTCAGGGCCACTGTTGGGGGGCGTCCGGTGGTCACGCTGTGGCAATATCTCTCGGCGTCTCGACGCAGCACGGGGGCAATGTCTGGAAGCCGGCCCGCGGCCTTTGGAGCCATCGCAGGGGCCATTTGTCGGGGGTGGACAGAACCTGCAACAGTGACACGTCGATTACTGAATTGGCCGTTTTCGGTTCTCGAGATGGCGCCGTGGCCGTTATTTTCCAGGCTTGCGCCCGCCAGGTTTGGGCCTCGGGTCGTTTTCACTAAACCACGTTTTACTGAAGGGGGGTCTGTCCATCCCCGAATCTGGGCGGCCTGCTGGGGCCGTTTGGGGCCTCCTGGAGGCATCCTGGAAGGTGAGGCGTCGGGCTGCGCACAGACAGCCCCCCCCGGGCAGCCCCGGCTGGCCTCCACAGGCCCCCCGAGCAGCCCAGGACGGTCTCCGCACCCCGGTGCCGCCTGCAGCGGCGCCCCATGGGGCGCTCCTCGGGTCCCGGGGTCTCGGTGTTGTTACAGTCGGGGCGCTGAAGAAGAAACCCTTTTCGTGGGGAGGGGCTCGATGTTCTTTCAGTTTCCGAGGTTCCGCACCTTGCCTAAGGTTCCCCTTCAGTTTTCGATGGGAAGTCGACGTTTAACTTACGAAAAACGGGGCCTCGTTCTTTATATTTAGGGTTCCTTAGGTCAACGCCTCGACTGTACCGCCCTGGACTACTCGGGGGGCCTGGGAAGGCCAGCGGGGATTGCATGGCGGGGTTGTCTATGCGCAGCCCTCGGGTATGGCCAGGACCCCCCTGGTGAGTGGTACGGCCCCGGAGCCTTTGAATTGGCCAGAATCACTAGACCAGGTTTGCCATAGCTTGTGTTTTTTTCGGGTGACGGCAGTTCCGGTTCGTGGAAATGGGACGGGGGGGCGCCCCCGGTACAGATCACTAAACCAGGTTCTTTTAGACCCAGTTCTGCCAACGCCCGAAACCCAACTCCGTACCAATCACGGACCCTCTCTGACGTGCCAACGGTACCTCTACGACCACCCGTCGGGTGATGAGGAGGCTTGGGGGGAAAATATCCAACCGTTGGCAATCATTGTGGTTGTGACGAGGACGGTGCTTGTGATGTGCCCTCGCGTTGGCGACGACGCGTGATGATGATGATGATGATGATGATGATGATGATGATGATGATGATGATGATGATGATGATGATGCTGGTCGCGATGAATGCTGTTGTTTGTCATCCCATCTGGCGCGTTCCAGACATAAGGGACGGCGCGATCGAGACACTGGGAGTCAAGAGAGGTCGCCCCATGGATTCTCCGCAACACCGTCCTGCGCGGCGCCGGCCGGGCGAGAGGCATCGCAAACACCCTTGTCGCGTGGCGCCTTGGCTGGTCGCCCTCGCAGCTGCCTTCCGTCGGAGAGCTTCTCGATCAAGTCCTTGTGCGAGGGCACGGCCGTGGCTCCTGAGCCGATGGTGGCGACCGACGCACTGGCTGATCGATCTTACAACGAATTGCGCGACGATCGTCTCGAGAGGATCTATCGATCTCTCTATACGTTTCATAATCGATCTGTATCGATGTCACAGTCGATATCACAACCGATCTCACAACCGATCTCAGTATCGATCTCGCATTAGTTTTCACTACCAGTCTGGCAATCGATCTCCCAATCGATCTCACAATCGATCTCATGCTCGACCTCACTGTCGATCCCACTATCGATATCACAAGCGATTTCACAATCGATCTCACAACAGATATCATTGTCGATCTCACAAAGGATCTCACTATCGACCTTCCAGACGATCTTTGTATCGATCTCGCCGCCCTGCTCCGGGACAGTGTCTCGCGCCGATTTGCGCCGGGACACGGAACACCAACAGGCCACCAACGGGACACCGACGCGCCACCGACGGGACACCCCCGGTTTCGCGCGTTGGGGGGGGAGGGCGAACAACCGTCTCCACAGCTCCTAACCACGGTGGCATCTTTCTTCTCGCGCGCCCACGCAGCTTCGCCTCGCCCGCACGCACGACACGGACACGAAACAGGAACCGATTCCCAGGTGGGGGCTGTCCGTTCCATTGTGAACTCCCCCCCCAATCTCCGATAACCGCATGCCCCGGATAATAAATCATCCCCCCCTTCAGGACTTGGGTGTTGATTTTTTCCGGCCAGTTTTGGTTGGCGGTGGGGAGCGGCGTTTCCGATTTTCATTATCTCCAGGGAAAGTACGAATCGTAGATTCGATCTTCTTACCACATCGTCATCATCATCGGCATCAGCATTTTCATCATCATTATCATACTACTACTGCTACTACTATTACTACTACGTCTACTATTTCTAGTACGATCAGTAGTACTACGACTACTGCTACTGCTTCAGCTACTATCACTACTACTACTACTACCACTACTACGACGACGACTACTACTAATACTCTACTCCCACCAATACGACTACGACTACGACTACGACTACGACTACTTCTACTACTACTACTACTTTTACTTTTATTGTTTACTACTGCTACTCCTACTACTACTACTAGGCTTACTACTAGTACTACGTCTACTTCTTCTTCTTCTTCTACTACTACTACTACTACTTCTAGCACGAGGACTGCTACTACTACTACTACTACCACTACTACTACTACTACTACTACTACTACTACTACTACTACTACTACTACTACTAGTACTGGTACTACTAGTGCTACTACTACTACCACTACCACTACTACTACTACTACTACTACTACTACTACTACTACTACTACTACCACTAACACTACTAACTACTAGCTACTAGCTACTAACTACTTACTACTAACTACTAACTACTAACTGCTTACTACTAACTACTAACTACTAAATACTAACTACTAATAACTACTACTACTACTACTACTACTACTACTACTACTACTACTACTATACCATTACTACACCACTACCATCACCAATTCTTACTACTAGTACCACTACTACGACTTATACTACTACTACTGCTACTACTACTACTACAACAACTACTACTACTACTACTACTAGTACTAGTACGACTACATTTACTACAATAGCAACTACTACTATCATTACTACTACGTCTTGCTACAAGTCCTTGACTACCATTACCACTACCACTATTACTAATCTTACTGCTATCACTACTATTACTGCTACGTGCTCCCCCCACCCTTTCCCTCGCCCTCAGCATCTTCATCATCATCATCGTCTTCATCGTCATCATCATCACCGACATCAACGCCATCAACATCAGTATCCTCAACATCCTCTTCAACGGCCCATTTGCTGCTACCTTCCGGAAGAATGTTTATTATCCCCCCTGGACCCCGAGCTTTATCATCCCCACCCCATGAATATCAGAGGCGCAGGTTCAGCTAAAGTAACCAAACCACCTCAGGTTTTGCCATGACCTTGTGTGTCTCGGCTTCCTCGTGATGCCTCCCCTTTGAGTTTGGTTGTGGTCTCGTGGGTATCTCGTGAAGTCACTCAACGGTATTGGAGCCCGTCTTGATTCGTCTTAGGGGGCATCTTGGGAACTTCTGGGGCGTCGGAGGCTGGTTTGCAACGTCGTTTGGGAGCACGGTGTGTGTGTGTGTGTGTTTGTGAGCTCGTAGCCACCCCCCTCCGAGTGGGATCTCGGACCCCCAGGGAGGGGGCTCAGGGAGGGGGAGGGGGAATCCAAGCATACCACACGCCTACGTATGTCAGGCGAACGTGGTCGGCGGCTTCCAGCGCTGAGGTTTCAAAGGCACTGAAATTCTTGCCAACCCTGCAAGACCTGGGCTATTCTGACGAGGATGCAGAGGCTGCCTACGTGGACGACCCAAGGAGCGCCATGGTTTGGGAAGGTGGAGAAAATGCAGCATGGATTCGGCTCCAAAGATGGATGTTCGATCATGATCGTCTGAAAGACTATCGTGATACGCAAAATGGTATGCTAGGAGAGGAGTATTGCGAAGGCCTCGCGGCCGGTTCTGCCGACCCTGAAGGGGGACGACGAAGGCGACGACGGCGACGACGACGACGCTCGCGAGCCCTCGTGAGGGCCCTTGTGGGCCCTGTTGGTTTCGGGACCACCCCCTGGCACCCCCCCCGGACCGCCTCCGGCGATCCCTCCCGGGACCGCCCCCCCCGGCGGGGAAGGGATCATGGGCTTCCCCTTCGACTCAATTGGTGTTCCTCGCCTGGCGGCCCTGTGGGTCTCCCCCATGGGCCGTCTTGGTTGGAAAAAAGGGGGGCCACGACCCCCGGAGCCCTCCCCCGGGACCCCCCCCTTGATCCCCTCCGGGACCCTCGTGGGGCCCCACGGACCTCCCGGCGACCCCCCAGATCCCCCCCCCCCCCGCGGGGAAAGGATCAACGGGAATGGGTTTCCCTCAGACCCGATTGCAACGTTGGATGATTTCCGTCTGGCTGGGTCGCTTGAGGTGGAGGGCCCGGAGAAAGGGGGAGAGCGGCGACGGCGGCGACGACGACGACTGAAACGGAAGAGGGGAGCGGCGACGGCGACGGCGACGATGGTTCAAACGGAAAAACGTCTCACGCACGACGAGAGGGTCGGCGGATTCTTCGAAATTGAGCCCTTGGATTGCAAGAGGCTGTATCTCTGTCAGACGAATCTGGAGTGAAGTGCAAAGGTACGAATCCGAACGGAGTAATAATCATAGTACGTATTGGTTCCGCAACTTGTTAGAATGGCGGGATCGCATGATTTACATTGCCAGGAGTCAGGGTGATCGGATTTTCAAGTTGGCTGGTATCGGAGGTGACCAGTACTCTAGGACTTGGCATGGGACGAGTGACGACTTACAGGTTTGGAAGGATGGCCGCACTGGCGAAGATCTTGTCGATGCTGGAATGAAGGAGCTCGCGCTCACAGGATATATGAGTATGCGGGCCCGCCATATAGTTGCCAGCTATCTGATCTACGAGCTGGGTGTGGACTGGCGCCACGGTGCTGCGCATTTCGAAGAGCACCTGCTTGATTACGACCCAGCTCTGAATTGGGTGATGTGGATGTTACAGACCGGGGTGATGGGTCCCAAGAGTGGGCGCAGTTTGGGTCTCTCACACTTTGATGCCAAGCGGCCGTATGCCTCCCAAAGGAAGACTCTTGCCAACCACGTCGCCGATCGAGCATACATCCAGCATTGGCTGACTGCGAGCAGTTCTTTGTACCAAGGTCGATTTCATCAGCGGCTTTCACCTGTCCATCCTGCCTTGGCTGTTCGAAGCGGTGCATGCGCTTCAATTTCAACTCATCATGACGACCATGATGACCCAGGCAAGTATCAGGCGCCGAGAAAGCAGTTCGGTGAGCCTGCGCTTGTGCAGCTGTCAGAAGGTGCGAGCAAAGGAAAGGGCAAGCACCGACGATGGGAGCTTTGCGATGCAAGCCTTGCTGGCGGTACACAGAAGCGCCGCTGGGGAAGAAAGGCAGAGACCGCAACGCACTCCGAATTGACCCTTCCAGGTGCATGAATTCATCCCTTCGCTTGTACAGCCTCATTTCAGTCAAGCCGCACACAGTTTTAGCGCTGTGCTCGGCGTAGCGGCTTGCTAAAGTTTTCGAGGGCACGAGCAATTGTATGCTTGCTTCCAAGAAGGCGTGCGCGATCACCATGAGGGGGAGAATACATCGGAGGCATAAGCGACCCTAACCGGGAAATCGGTTTTGTTTCGGTACGTGACGTGTCGTGCATACGCGCAAGACGAAGATGCGTGGGTGCATCGACGTGCCGGCTTAGGCCACGGGCGAGCTGGGAAAACAGCCAGTCTTGCGGTGGGCCGAAAGAGTTTGAGTTGTCCCTTGTGTATCCCGTGGTTGTTCCGTGGGTTGTCCCGCGGTTTTCCCACGGGTTGTCCTACGGTTGTCTCGTGGTTGTCCCGTGGGTTGTTTGTTGGTTGTCCAGTGGTTTCCGTTGGATATTTCGTGGGTTGTCCCGTAGTTTGTCCGGTTGTCCCGCAGGTTGTCCTGCGTGGTGTCCCGTGGGTTGTCCTGTGGACTGTCCCATTGTGGTTCCCCAGTTGTCCCCGTGGTCGCTCCGGGGGAACCGTGAATCGAAATTCGAGTTAATTTGTTGCACGTTGAAATAAGTGCTAACTGCACGTCGACATAACAATCACATGCGAATCGACTTCCACGCTGGAGTGGACATTCAATTGCAAGACAACGAACTGCCAATCCAATTGAAAGCGAACTTCACGCCGACATTGAACATGCCATTCAAACCCGATTGCACATGACAGTGCACATCAAAGTGTACATCATTATTCACATCCCAATGCAAGTCGTAATTCAGACCGAGCATCAAGTGAATTGTACGTCGACGTACCGAGATTAAGTTCAACTGCAATCGCAATTATTGATGCTTCGAGTATCCCCCCGCCCATCAAGACACGATGCCCGGGGATATGCATTGTGTTGGGACATGCAGTGGAACAACTACGGGCGCAGCCGTCGAACTGATGATCAGGATCAGCCTGAGCAGGCCTGGTGGTCAACCATACATTGGTTCGAGGATCTTTCGACATGGGAGCCTCTTGGCTGCTTACTTTCTGGCAATGTTGATGGACTCATCTTGGAGCGGCCTTATGCTATCGTGGACGCTCTAAGCTCTGGCCATGGCCATCTTGGACATCCCCGGGTTGGGCACAACACTTGGACTCATCTTGGACATTTGTTGATGGACTCATCTTGGAGCGGCCTTGGCCATCTTGGACATACCCGGGTGGGCACAACACCAGGCGGGAAGCTCTCGAGCGAGGCCACGGCCCCCACGCCATTGCGCTGTTGGGCACGGGCGGGCTCTCCCTCGCGGAGCGGGCACGACCCCGGCGCTCGCTCCGCTCCGCCCTGCCGAGCCCTCGGGGCCGCTCGCATCTCCTGCTGCCCCCCGCGGGGACGCCGCCTCCCGGGCGCCGCAGGATGCACGAGCTGCTCCTGCTGCAGCCGCCCGACCTGCAGCGCCTGCGGGTCACCGCGTCGGGGGTCTCGGAGGCGCCGCGGCGGGGGGTTGGCGCAGCGCTCACCGAGGGGTGAAGCAGGGAGGGAGGGAGCGAGGGAGGGAGGAAAGGAGGGAGGGAGGGAGGGAGGGGGAGGAGGGAGGGAGGGAGGAGGAGGAGGAGGAGGAGGGAGGAGGAAGTGTAGCAGGAGGAGCGAGGAGGAGCGAGGAGGAGGAGGAGGAGGAGGAGGAGAAGGAGGAGGAGGAAGAGGGCGAGGAGGAGGAGGGAGTGCTTTCGGCTCGAGCCTGGGGGGGTTCGCGCGCTGTCGTCGGGCTTCGGTGGTCGCCCTGCCTTGGGCTGCCTTGTGTAGCGGCTACGCGCCCCGCCGGCAGCGCTCCAGGGGTGGCCCGGGCCGCCCCGAAGGGCCGCGGGAGAGCCGAGCTCTGGCCCGGGAGCTGCTCCAGGTCCGGGGCAGTGTTCGGGGGATGGGCTCAGGGCGGGGCGCATCGATCCCCTTACCGCCCGCTCATCGTGAAGAGACTCACCACCCACCAAGCCAGCCCGTCCCAACCCGAATGCTTCCATGTGCCCTCCATTGCCAGTGGGGGGAGGGTCGGGGAACATCGAACAAAAGCATCTGGAACCCGTACCCCCCCAACCCGAAATTCGGGTCCTCTGGTTGGGTTGGGGTGGTCTGGTAGTTAGTCATTTACCCCCTAGCCATCACGGGCGTGACCGGAGAGGGGAGGGCGGGGTCTGGTCACACCGATGTATGCGGTATCGGCGATGTATCGCGGATTCCAGCTCGATGTTCCCCCCCCCCGGAGCCGGTTCCTCTCCTATAACGTGCCGCCGCAAGGTCGGAGCAGGAGGAGGAGGAGGAGGAGGAGAAGGAGGAGGAGGAGGAGGAGGCTGTCCCTGCTTCCCCTCTGTCTCCCTTCTAGTCGCCCTGGCTCTCCCTAGCTGCCTCCGATCTTCCTTGCTGCCTGCTAGTTCTATGTCGCGCTTCTCTTTGGCCATCCTGTCGCGCACGTGGCGTCGCAGTCCTGCTCGCGGCGGAATCACGTCGGCCAACGCTGTGCGCGCTTTTAGGCTTTGCGAAGGGGCGAAGGGAGGACGAGGAGGAACAGGGAGGAGGAGGCGGAGGAGGAGGAGGAGGAGGAGGAGGAGGCGGAGAGGAGGAGGAGGAGGAGGAGGAGGAGAAGGAGGAGGAGGAGGAGGAGGAGGAGGAGGAGGAGGAAGGGGAGGAGGAAGAGGCTTTCGAGGATTTCTTCCTGCTGCCAACCGTTTTGTCCCTACCCTCTGGGCCGCTTCCTGGGGCCGGAGGCCTCCGAGGGCCTTCGGGGGACCGAGACCTCCGGAGAGGGAGGGGGGCCAGGGCGGCCCCGGGAAGGGCTGCAGCCGCCACGCATGGATGCCTCTTTTCGGGGGTCCTCCTCCCTCCCCCCTCCTCCCTCCCTCCTCCCTCATCCCTCCTCCTCTCCCTCCCTTCTCATCCCTCCTCCTCCTCTCCCTCCCTCCCGTTTCCTCCCTCTCCTCCTCCTCCTCCTCCTCCCTCCTCCTTCTCTCCCCCTTCTCCTCCTCCGTCCTCCTCCTCCCTCCTCCTCCTCTTCCTCCCTCCTCCTAATCCTCCTCCCCCCCCCTGCTCCTCCTCCTCCTCCTCGTCCTCCTCCTCCTCCTCCTCCCTCCTCCCTCTCCTACCTCCGCCCTCCGTTCTCCTCGCGAGACGTGCCGGGCCCTGGCTCGGACCCCAGGGTCCGGAGCCCTAGCCCTCCGCAGCGCATGAGTCGGGACGACGGGGGCCGGTGCGGAAAGAGGTTTGGTGCAGTGGAGACGCATGCCGAGAGACACCCTGCTTGCCTCCAGGGTGCCCTGGGTTTCTCGGGTCGTGCCCTGGGTTTCTCGGGTCTCGATTGTTTCCCCATGGAGATCTGGACGTTCCCACGCCCAACACCAACGCATGTCCTGGGGTCTCGGGGTTGTTTTCCTTCAGGGTTGGGTTCCTTCAAGCAGTGACGAAGCGTCCTGGCTCGCCTATAGCCCCACCAAGCAATGTTCTAAGAAACTTTTGTGGTTCCCAGGAAATGTTCTTAGAACATTTCTGGCTGGGACTGTCTTGTTTTAACACATCGTGTTTGTGTTCTACGAACATTGTTTTTGTTCCGAGAACATCGTTGGGGTCTAAGAGCATGTCGTGGTATGACTATAGGAGTGCCGGGACGGTCGTTCCCTGCCAAAAAGAAACACCCTGCTTGCCTCCAGGGTGCCCTGGGTTTCCTGGGTCTCGATTGTCTTCCCATGGAACTCTGGGCGTTCCCACACCAAAAATCTCAATGCATGTCCTGGGGTCTCAGGGGGGTTGGGTTTCCTGCGGAAGGTTTCCTGTGGACTGGCCTCCACTGGTATTCAGGACGATCGAAATGGGTGTGGAAAGAATGGGTACGATGCCCAACAGCAGTTCCGGTTAATTTTGAGCAGGACTCGCTGTCTGCGCCGCCGCGGACGTTGTTCATTGAAGATCAAAAGCCGCCTGCCCAATCGCGGCCGCTGTCGGTTTTGGACAGCAGGTGTCGTTGGACATTGTGCACATTTTTTCCGTACCCATTCGGGCGTCCACAATTATTGTTGGAATTTCAAGAGTCTTTTCTGTTTTTGGAATCCCGGTTTGTCTTTCAACAGATCTTGTTTCAAAAATGGTGCCAGTTCCGTATTTGTTGCTTGCGGCGATACCGAGATTCTGGAAGCACGTTTCTCGCGATCCGGAATTGGCGGAATCTTTTGCTGGGTGATCGGGCATTTTGGAATGGGATTGTTTCGCAGTTCAGACTGGGCGGCGGTCGTTTGGGGCACTTGGACTCTGTAATTCTTGTGTGGCTTGAAAGTGTCGAGGCAAAGCCAACGCCGTTGAAGTCGGGATACAGCGCACGTTCGGTTATCATAGGTCACATCGCCGTTTTCGTTGTTGAGCGAGTGGGGGAAGTGTGAAGGAGAGGGCCTTCTCAGAAGGCGGCGGGACTTCTCAGGAGCCTTCGCGCCTTCTGAGAGGTTTCTGTGCCCTCGGGGAAGGCTTAGAACACTTTTCAGAAGGCCAGGGAATTTCTCTGCTTTTGAGAAGGCCTTCTCCTTCTCCCTCCTCCCCGGGCTATCCGCCGATTTAGAGCACGCCCCTTCCAGACCTCCAAACCGATGCCAGCCTTTTTTCCACAGCGTGGACTCCTGGAAGCCTCGACCCCTTCCCCCGGGCCACCGTCTTCCTCCCGAGCCGCTTTTGGACGGCCCTGCGGGCCCAGCGAGGGCCTTTAGAGGCCGAAAATAACCAATATGGGAAGTGAAGAGGAAGACGAACATTCAGGGAGTATGGAACATACAGGAAATCCTGGGATTTCTCTGTATTTATTAGTGTGTCGCTGTGCCCCTTCACACGTGCAACTCTCCACGGTCTGTCTGCCCTCTGTCGGGGCCGCTGGAGGCCCGTTTCGCGCCGCGGGGCCATCGGCAACAAGCTGCCCGGGACGAACAAAACCAGCCACGGGAGCCCAGAAGCGTCCTGAGCCGTAGTGCATAAACTCAGAGGAGTGGCATGTACCCATACCGCACCCCTTCGCTCGTTTTTGTAGTTTTGGGCCTCCTGCGAGGCCCTCGTCGCCACCGCGGCATTCGCCTCAGAATGCACCCGTGGGAGAGGTCTGGGGAGTGGCGGTATTGGTACCTGCTGGCTTCCCCACGAAATATAGGAGGTCCCCGCGCGAATCTCTTGGATCTTCGCTGGTTCCCCGCTGGCAGCGCGTCCTGCGCCGCCCCCGAGCTACGGCGGCTTGTGTTGTGTCGGGCGTGTCCCCCTACAGGGGGATTTTCGACGAAAAATAAAAATACCTCAACAATAGTCAAACAATTGTCCAAAAATAGTCTGGGGACTATTTTTCGTGTTTGTTTGTCCTGTTTTGGGGTATTTCCAGGGAATTATTCATTTTTCGTCGAAAATCCGCCTGTAGGGGGACACGCCCGACTTCAAGCTTGTGTTTATGACGAGTGTGTTCTTGCTCTACGAAGGCTGGACCCCCCTTCTGGCGCGCGGAGCTCGCCAGTGGCGGCGTGCCGGAGGCGCCGCCAGGGGTGTCTTGCGACGATTGAAGAAATCCGCCTGGACCGCCGAAAGTGTATGTGTTTGCCGTATGTGGTTCCTCTATGACAGGTTCACGCAGGGTGTAATCCCTTAGGGAGGTTGCGTTCAAGCGAGCTCTCAGTCGGCCGCCACTCCCCAGGATATTTCTACATTCTTGACGCGCCGCGTAGTCCCACCAGCCGATCCAGCAACGATGCCCGGGCGACTTGTATCGATCAGGGAGGTGTGGGAGCACGCAGTGGGACAGAGATGGCGGGCAGCCGTCAAACCAAAGATATGGATCTGCCTGAGCAGGCCTAACAGTCGACCAGAAAGTGACTTCGCGGATCTTTCGACATGGGAACCTCTTTAGCCTTGCCCCTAAGGAGCCCTAATGGTTGCCTCTTGAGACCCTCCTTGGGACACTCTTAGGGCGCTCGTGGGGCGCTCTTGACCGCTCTTGAGGCCGTAGTGGGCCTCTCTTTGGGCCCCTTTTGGCTGTCTTGGAGCCACCTTGAGGCCTTACTACGCATGGGAAGCGAAACGGGTGTTGGCCTCTTGGGAGTACCGAGGCCAGTTGGAGCCGTCTCGGAGCGGTCTGGGGGCCTTTTGAGGGCATGTTGGTGGCAATCTTGAGTCTTCCTGAGATATCCCGAGCAGTCTTGGAGGCCATCCTTCGCTCTCTGATGCCATCTTGAAGCTATGCTGGTCCAAATGCAATGGTTTTGGCTTTGAGAGAAGGGGGGGGTCCTTAACTAGGCTTGCCCCTCTTGAGCCCCAACAGTCACCTCGTGAACTCTTGCAGCCCTCCTGTAGGCGATCTTGGGCGTTTTGGGGGCCGCCTTGGAGTCATCTTGGGCCACTCCTGCTGCCCTCCTGGGCCGCCTTGCAGCCATCTTGAGACCCCTAGCGCCCATCGGAAGCTAGCAGGCGAGACGACAATAGGCATTGATGCTCTGAATCTTTTGCAAGGACTGTTGCCCCCATGGGG